GTTTCTCTCTGAAACGGGTTCTGATGGAATCTTTGACGAGGGGGGTCGCTACTTGGCCTGAAGAGACACTTCTCACTGTAAATCCGGCTACGATTGCTTCGGATATGTGGAAATTCGAGTTAAAAGTTCTGAAGAGTGCTTATCAAAGCATGTTAAGCTCTCACAAATGGGGTCTCGTGATCGTCACCGCAAGCTTCGATGGGCGCATCCGAACCTACCTCAATTACGGGTTACCTATTCGGCTATAAGAACCCCTCCGTCCCAAAAGATTCAGCTTGCAACAATCCGATACATATACAGATATAGATATAAAGGAAACTTGTATGTAGACATATACGTATACTAAATACTCATCATAGTGACATAATAAATTCATGTGGTCCTTCATTGCATGTAGGTCTGGACCAATCATAGATTTTTGAAGTGTATATTGTCGGGAGTTTATTTTGTTATTGGAACACACCATATAGATGTCAGTTTATATATTGATTCTTTGATTTTTTTTTGGGCAGATTTTGAAGGAAATTTGTCCATTGAGCATAATATCATCTATGTATGCATACGTGTGTTATTGCTATAAATCACTTTTGCTGAACTTAGATGCGTGTTTCTCTCCCATTGAGCATGTTAGTAGGTCCCGTATAGCCATATTGCCTCGAATATACCCTTTAAAAATCCACCATATGTGCCTACCCTTTAAACACAAATATATTTAGTGTTTGACAATCACTCGACTATATCTGGTATTGAATCAACTTTTTAGAAGAAATAATTTAAGAGAAAAAAAAAAGTGGAATTTTTTCTCTCTTTATAAGGTGTTTTACTCGTTATATTTCTGATTATAGTAACATGTAAAATCATAGCATTAATCATTGTATTAGTGCAAAACACCCCCTCTAATTAATACTAATTTCCATTATAGCCTAAGTACATAAACCCAGCATAGCATTAGTGCATTACTCGTGTTTGTTTCTAGTGTTGTTGTTGATTTGCTAGTTATATTTGTGATAATGATCAATAAGTGGTACAGAAACCATGATTTCAGAGGCAGCCCATAGCCTGGAAGCTTCAGTGGGAGTGGAAGCCAGTTTTGACGTCCTTGCTTCGTTGCAGCCTGCAAAGTATTTCCCACTGACATTCTCTACCCTCGGATGCGTTGCTACGTAACATGTCGTCGAAGCTGCCTGAGGGATTGTCTTTAGGAGCTTTGAAGCTACAAAGAAAACCAGATCTGCATGTTTACAGTAACAAGGAAGCTATTACAATATTAATCTTAAGCCTGAGTTTGAGAAATGGTAACTCTTTTCTAACCTGTGAAGAAGCCTTCACGTTCCCTGGTGAGACGAGTTTTAACAATCCCTGGATGAACACAATTGATAGTCACATTGGCACCCATTTCCTGCAAGCCAAGATTTTTGAATATAAATATAATGAATCCATACAAAATGTATTTAACTTTTCTTTAGGGTTTTAAAGAATAAGACCAAGGATCAAACCTTCAGTCGCTGAGCAAGTTCCTTGGTATGCAAAACATTAGCCAGCTTCGAGAGAGCATAAGCACGTGTAGCATCGTACTCACTGGAGACAAAATACCCACAAAAATCGTCAAATCCAAACCCTAAGTCTTTTAAACAATCATTTTCTCTTCTTATTAAGTCATTGGTTCTTATTATACCACCTCACCTTTTGTTTCTCGATATCTGGCCTAGATATCCGATCATATTGCCGGAAAACCAACCGTTGATGCTGACGACACGTTCACGATTCTTCCCTGAACGCCGGTTTGTTTTTCCGTATCGATCATCTTGTTCAACAACAGTTTTGTCAACAGAAAATGACCTAGATAATTAGTGGCAAATGTCATCTCGATTCCATCCTCGGAGATTGCATGTTCATGAGCAAACTTGCCGGCGTTGTTTCTGATATTTACAATAAAACAAAACATGTTTATCGTCTTTTTTTTTCTCCTTCTTTCGCTTTCTCAGCAAGCAAACAATCCCCAATCATATAATGTGCTTCTTATCCGACAAGAAAGCTAGTTAGTTAGTTAATCTCTTGTCATTTTGTAACTGAAATTTAACTTCTTTTTTGCCAATCTTTTTTATTTAAGGAAAGTGAGAGTTTAGTGGATTACATGAGGAATTGAGAGGCAAGTTAAGTGACTCGAAATCCGACCCGAATTTTCGAACTGAATTGAGTGAACTCAGATCAAGAGCCATTACGATGATCTCGGAGTTAGGAAACTCCTCGCCTTAGTTTCCTCCGCAGCTTTAAGGTTCCGAGCCGGAAGCACCAATCTCGCCCCTCGCTTTGCCAACACCCAAGCCGTCTCGGCGCTGATCCCCTACGACGCACCTGTTAACAACAACCTCACACAATCAAAACTCAAAAGGAATAAAAGTTGACAGAACCATGAATGCAAAGACACGTTACCTGTTATATTGGCAGTGATAGAACGGAGATCAGGGCAAGTCTCGGTAACTTGGTCGGCGGTGGACTTAGACCCGAAGCCGCTCGCTCCTCTAGAACCAATCAGATACTTGACGGTTTCAAGCATTTCCATCTTCTAAGCTTTCTTTCTTCCTTTGGATATGGATTCTGATAGTTTAACGTTGAATAAATAACACCCAAAAGTAGGATACACAGTCATTTAACAATGATCAGTACCAGAGAGCAGGGAAAATACAGCGATTATAAAGAAAGGATCAGATGAAAAGGAAGCTAAAAGCAAATCTGTCTAAGGACGACAGAGATCAAAAGTGGAAGAATTTTATAATGGAGCTTGGTGCAGAATCGAATCAAAATAAATAATATAGTGTTATATTCGTTTCGTCGTTTGATTGATTACTGATAAACTATGCATGATTAGGGTTTATAGTTCTTTGGTTGTATATTAAAATTTTATTTATATGTATTAAATATACATATCCAAGTAAATATTAATATTATTTATTTACGAGGGATTCATCTATTTAATACTTTGTATACTAATAATCTTTAAGGTGCTAAAGGCCCTACTACTGTGCCTTACCATTAATTTTCTAAAAAAAGTATAATATTTTGTGGGTTTATAATTAGCATAATTAATTGTATTATTTATGTAGTGACCATGAAGAGTATAATTAATTAATTTAATTGTTGATTGAAAGGTGGCATCTTTGATAATTAACTAATCATTTGATTAAACATGTAACTGTATTTTATAATCTTAGGAAAGTTCATCCATATAAAGGGTAATTCTGTCGTACGACAACCTTAATATACGGCTAAAGAAAGATCCAATCGGAAATATTAATATTTTTTTAATATTTTCGATAAAACACTACCTAAAACGTTATTTGTTTTACCGAAAATATTAATTTCGCCTTTAACATTTTCGGTACGCCTTTCCTTTTCAAAATAAAACATAATAAGAAATTTATTTTTATAATAAAATTGAAATTATATTAACTTTAATAATTTAAAAAAATAGTGAAATTTAACTTTTATCAATCATCTATGACGATAGTGTAAAGTTGGAAATTTAATTGAATGATTGATGGTTACTTCCGTACACGTTCAATATCATCGTCTGTTAAAATTGTGTTAACACATATTAAATTATAATAATATGAACTATTTTTTTATAATAATAAAAAAATTAAAGTATTTACCTATTGTATATATTATGTTCACATAACCCAACCCTCGTATTTAACAATATGTGTGGGTGGAAGATGGGGCACTTGTTTGAAAGGCAACAATTAGGGGCGTAAACGAGTTGAGTCGAATTCAAGTATTGTTGAATTTGATTCGACTTGAAAATTCTGAAATGGAGCTCGACTCGACTCGAAAACTCGTGAGCTTAAAATTTTTAAGCTCGACTCGAACTCGAAATCCTGAACTGAAGCTCGTGAGCAGCTCGAAAAGGCTCGAAATGAAAAAAAAAATTCTTAAACTTAACAAGATTGAGTAATCAAACTCAAACTCGAACCTGAATCTTAAATACATGAAAACCTTATTGTATTTTAAAAGAAAATAAACAAATAAAAATAAATTCTTAATATATTATATTTTCGTGCTGCTCACGAGCTTTTCGAGTCGAGTATCAAGTAGCTCGTTTCGGCTTGTTAAGAATTCGAGTCGAGCTCGAGTTCGAGTCGAGTCCATTCGATCTGAGTATTTATCAAGCATTGACCGAGTCGATCTCGAGTAGCTCGCGATCTGTCTCGTCTCATTTACAGTCCTAGTAACAACATATACTTTGGAGCCGTGAATTATTTGGAACGCAGCACATGGGGGAGGATCAAATACATACGTTGGGCCAACCCGGCAGGCTAAAACCAACTCGTCAATGAAGTATACGTGAATGCAGTTGGAGGTTAGAGTAATCATCTTTTCATTGATATATACCTGCATCAATGGAGCTTGGAATAATCTTGCTTACACCTCGTCTTTCAAACTCTTTGTTTAAGATTCTTTAATATTCCCTTTCGAGCATAAATACAATATAGATAAACAATGTAGATATTCGTATTTAACACTCCTACCCGATTCTATATAACTTAACATCTCATATTTGTGTTCCATATCATCTTACAAACTGGCAAATTCGGACACAAACCTTGGATTCAGCACCATTAATCCAACCATTGTCCCATATTTTTGTTCCCAAAAACAGAGTCGAATGCCTTCTTGATAATTTTTTTTCATATAACTCGGACTTTTGTAAAATAGAGGAATTAAATTTATAAATTATATATTTTAACTTATAAAATCATAACATTTGATAAATGATATCATGATACAACTTTTAACATATATCGGTGAAAATGTAGGGACTAAGTCTTCAATAAGTCTCATAATTTCGGTACCAAAAGAGATTAATGCTAAAGTAGAGGGACCAATAATAACATGATACAACTTTTAAGGTATTTTGTGTTCAGTTAATTGTTTTAATGAAAACATAAGCATCCTACAAAATCTTTTATCAGTGGCAGCAGCCATTAGAGATTCTTTTTCTAGAGCTCATCATGTGAATCATCATCTTCTTCTTCGTTCGATGCAGCTCCACCGGGGCCTCCACCGGATCTTTGATATACAGCTGTGATGATAGGGTTGCAAACAGCCTCAACCTCCTTGAGCTTCTCCTCAAAATCTTCCTTCTCGGCATTCTGGTTGTCATCAAGCCACTCGAGGGCCTCCTTCAACGCCATTTCGACTTTCTCCTTCTCGTCAGATTCAAGCTTGTCGGCAAGCTTATCCTTGTCGCTAATCTGGTTTTTCATGTTGTATACGTAAGTCTCCAGGCTGTTGCGAGCATCGATCTTCTCCTTCACCTTCTTGTCTTCCTCTGCGAATTCTTCGGCCTCACGAACCATTCTCTCGATCTCCTCCTGGCTTAGACGACCCTTATCGTTGGTAATTGTGATCTTCTCTGATTTACCCGTGCCTTTGTCTTCAGCCTTCACGTTCAATATACCATTAGCATCGACTTCAAATGTAACTTCGATTTGAGGGGTTCCCCTGAGGAAACGATAAACACCGGTAAATTCAAGTGAAGGTTTGCAGAAAGCATAAAAGAAAGTTGATGGAAGAGAGGAGCAAACCTTGGAGCTGGAGGAATTCCAGTAAGATCAAACTTCCCAAGCAACCTACAGTCCTTTGTGAGACTCCTTTCGCCTTCAAAGACCTGATACCAAACCACAAAAATTTATATAAGCTCGAAAGTTTTAATGATTCAATTCTTCAGTATTTGTATTAGACAATCATATCAAACATCCATAAGTAGAATGCAACCTTCCGACTTTTTAAATAGATGAAAATAGAAATCTGACCAGAGTCCATGTTACATAGGTTCAAAGCATTCCAGTTCTTGGCATTCTAAAAGAATTCCGAGTTTTAATGAGAATCGTGTTTAAATGTACCTGAATGGAGACGGTGGTTTGCTGATCCTGATAAGTGGTGAAAACTTGAGACTTTTTGGTTGGGATAACGGTGTTTCTAGGAATCAACTTGGTCATCACTCCACCAACAGTCTCAATACCGAGGGTGAGTGGAGCCACATCAAGGAGAAGAATATCTGTACATATTTAGATTCGGTTAGAACAGTTTACATCAGCTATAGGCTTGTGTAGTTATTATGATGGAGAAAATTACTGGGAGATGAAATTGTACCTTTGGTTTCATCACCACCCTCTCCGCTCAAGATGCCTCCTTGTACTGCAGCACCATAAGCAACGGCTTCATCCGGGTTAACACCCTTGTTGGGCTCCTTTCCATCGAAGTAATCCTTAAGGAGCTGTTGAACCTTAGGAATTCTAGTGCTTCCACCAACAAGAACAATCTCTTCGATTTGGCGCTTCTCCAAGCCTGCATCTTCCATTGCCTTCTTCACAGGTCCCATGGTCTTTCTGAACAGGTCGTTGTTCAATTCCTCAAAGCGAGCCCTGGTCAGTGGCTCAGAGAAATCAATACCGTCAAAAAGTGATTCAATTTCCACGCGGACCTGGTGCTGGCTACTGAGAGCTCTCTTGGCACGCTCAGCTTCCCTCCTGAGCTTCCCAAGGGCCCTGTTATCCTTGCTGATGTCCTTTCCATGCTTTTTCTTAATCAGCTTAATGAAGTATTCCATAATCCTCTGATCAAAATCCTCACCTGCAAGAAAATTGACCATAAGTACAATTCATAATGAAAAGAAACTTTTAGAAACCAAAAACAATAATGACGCTTACCTCCCAAATGAGTGTCTCCATTTGTGGAAAGAACCTCGAATACACCATTGTCAATTGTCAGGATACTGACATCAAATGTTCCACCACCAAGGTCAAAGACAAGAATGTTTTTCTCACCGCCCTTCTTGTCCAAACCATAGGCGATGGCAGCTGCAGTTGGTTCGTTGATAATCCTTGCGACATTGAGCCCGGCAATAATGCCAGCATCCTTGGTGGCCTGCCTCTGGGCATCATTGAAGTACGCTGCAAATCAAATAGAGATATTATTTTAGCATCATAAAGGACCAGACAATAATAATCCTTTTTTTCCCAAAATGAGAACAATGTTTATTATAAAGCACTGACCAGGAACAGTGACCACTGCATCCTTAATTTTCTTCCCGAGGAAAGCCTCAGCTGTTTCCTTCATCTTAGTTAGAACCATAGCACTGATCTCCTCAGGGCTGAAGACCTTGGTCTCTCCATCCTTAATTTTTACTTGAATATAAGGCTTTCCATCCTTATTCACAATCTTATATGGAACAAGTTTCATATCCTTCTGGACCTCCTTATCATCAAACCTGCAGCGAACAAACATGCACTGTAAGCATTATCTCCCAATCTACCCCAAAAACATAATACAATAAACATATGAGAACAATGTGAATTACTTTCTTCCTATAAGTCTCTTGACATCAAAGATGGTTCTCTCTGCGTTAACAGCTGCCTGGTTCTTTGCAGCCTCACCAATCAGCCTCTCGCTGTCGGTGAAAGCCACCCAAGATGGTGTAATACGGTTACCTTGGTCATTGGCTATGATTTCAACATGACCGTTCTTGTAAACACCAACACAAGAATAAGTTGTACCGAGATCGATTCCAATGACCGTCCCCAATTTCGTGGCTTCCTCCTTTGCAATTGAGATTGCGAAGAGACATCCTGCTTCAAAGCTTAAACAATATTAATACTTAATGCAATTAAATGCAACCATGATGTTCACACAGATAATTAAAGGTCAACTACTACCAAATTAGAAATCGGTACCGGAGAAAAGAAACTGTGTTACTGCAAAACAATATTGAAAATTGAAGGTAAACTACTGCCGAATCAAATAAAAAATTTATTCAAACGAATTAGCCAGTCACTCATTCTATAAATCCAGATATTTCTGGTACCCGAATCAGTGCAGAGAAATCAAACAATACAAGATCGCCGAAACTCTCACTCACGATCTAATGCATTACTAAAACTATAGCACCTGAATCACCGAACATGCACCATCTATTCTAAGCGCAATTAAAATCACCAAACAGAAGTAAATCTACTTCATTTCCCACTAGAACGAAAAACAAACGAATCATAAATCAAGAAATCAGTCAATCACATCAGAACAAGCAGATCTAGCTAAAAAAGGAGCTAAGAGCAGCACAAAACTCACCGAACAAGGCTATCGTTGTAACCACCAAAGAGCCACGTGCTCTCCTCGAGCCAGCCATCGCGCGTCCTTAATTCTTGGCTCTCGAGTTATTTCCTTAGAAAATCACTGAGACTTTGTTTTTCCTTTTATTTTCACGCTGTGTGAGAGAGAGTCGCTGTTCGAGCGTTTTTATATTTGGATCGCCCCGAATCTAACGTTAGCTTTTCAGTTTTCTCAGGTATGCGTAAAATGAGTGAGCATGTCATTAGTGGTGACGTGGACCAATGATATTGCGAATACGGATTTGCTGCGCCAATGAAATTATATCTCTTGCGTTGGGGAGATCTTGGCCGTTAATTTTCCAGGACTTTTGCGTGTCCGCTTTCCACTCGTTTGCTTTCACTAATTATAAACAGAATGGCTTTGACTAGTAGTCAGGCAGCAGAGCTCAAAACGCACCGATGCTTCGTCGTTTTGAAACTACCCATTACCTTTCCGTATGTTAATTTGATGTTTTAGTTCATTATTTTTTACTTGTATGTTAATCATAGTTTTTTTTATTAATATAATAGTGGTTATAAGATAATATATGTTTAAAAGATTTTTTATCTATTTGACAATGAATATTCAAACATCGAATTTGAAACCATTAATTATAATAATTTGGTTCATGCATATGTTAATCATAATTATTTATAAATGCATATTTTACTATGAACTGTATAAGAATACAATTAGATGTGATAGTTAAAATTATAACGAGTATTAATTTAATTTGTCGTAACTGTTAGCATTATTGAGAAACTTTTTATATTATCTTCTCGAAATATTTAATATCATTTTAACCTTAAAATTTTATTTCCCGGTCCTTAAATAAACTATTTAAGCCCCTTGGTTTGAGAAGTCACGATCCATAAATTATATATTACATTACATATTATGACTTTCCCCGAGCATCGAGACGTTGTAAGGACTCAATCAAGAATTGGCAAATCTTCAGCGCCACTTTGCTCTCCCATTTAACCAATCGGTCCTCTAAGGTTCTCCACTTTTCCAGTCAAGTCCTCAACTCTTTAGGCCATTCAATTGAGTCTTTATACCGTCTAGACGTCGGTGACGATAAGTATTACATAATCTATAGATTGTATCCTCCCTGATTCAAATGTTCTCGTGATGCATTCAAGTGTCAAGAGATAAAATTACAGGATTAAAATGATATTAGACAAAACAATATCTAAATTTCAATCAACTGTACAATCAAAAGAAATCATCAATAAATATAGGGTAAATTATACTCTCTCCTATTTTATTCATTGAACTTTCATATTTTTCAATTTGCCCACTTAACTATACAGATTGGATTATTTTACTCACCCGATCGTTTTCTCTATAACAGCTGGATGAAATGACTTTTTTGTTAATATATAATAATGATATATATCTTTTTATTAATATTTAATTATGATATATAATATTTTAAATAAAATAAAAATAAAAATTCTTAAATTTTATTTCTAAACCCTTATCCCAAATTACTAGCTCACCCTCAACTTCTACCGTCTCACCTTCCCACCGTCTCACCCTCCCACCGTCATTGTTTATCTCAACTGAAGCCTCTACTGTCACTTTTTCTTGCCATCGAAAACCACCCTTTATAAACATCACTTTTACCCACTAAATTCAGTGCAAAATCATAATAAAATGGACTTGAGTTATTTTTTGGCATTGAAAAACAGTCTTAGCAATTAGGTACACAAGTCAAGCCAATATCCATAAATAATATATTAAAATATCAAACCAAAAGCCCCATTGATGAGAGCTTGGAGTTTCTCGTAGCAAAGCAAAGCAAAAACGCAGTAAAAGCAAACAAGGGAAAAACTTAGAATAGAGAAGAAGAGGAGATGTGGTGTACGTTAGATCCATGAAGTTTAAGGGATTTTTAGGTTAAATGAACATCAGATTTGCGTTGAAAATGACAAAACGAGCTTGATGAAAAAATTGGGATTTATTGACCACTGTCAACAACGATCGACAGTGGCTGACGTGATGGTCAACACGATAAATGGTGATCCAAAATTCTATCATGTTGAGAAAAATGGAAGAAATAAAAGAAGGGAAGGAAAGAAGGAAAATGAATGAATTTTTGAATTTTATATAGATGCAAAACAATGTTGTTATAGTAGAAATTTAGTTTTTTAAAAATGACGCCGTTAATTATTTAACGATGAGATGACCAAAACAGGAGTAATGTCAAAATTCAATGACTAAATTGAAAAATTAAAAGTTTATTGAGAAAGAGTGTAATTTACCCGTAAATATATTTCATTTGTAAAAAGAAACATATTGTTGATATAGTTATATTTTAAAAATAATATAAATTGTACTCGATATTTTATTTTCGAAACATATGCTGATTTGATATAATATAACTTTGCTAGTGCCGCCCATCGGTTACTAGATTTGCCACCAAATCTCGTCTACAGTTGCAGATGAACTACTGAAGATAACCACACAAAAAACCACCACTCTTTTCATCATTAGCCGCCCTCATTTGTCTTTTTGGTTTTACCAGTTTGTAACGTCTGTAACTCATTAAATATGCACAACTTTTCTATTAAACAAGAGCGACTTGAACCATGCAAGGTTGATTGCTACCTAATAATTGCTCTTTTGGTAACCTCAAAAATTTTATTTGAGGTGACAGAAAGTTAGTGCACTAGACTTTTGTGGTATTTTGCTAATGGATGTTGTCATTCCATGATAATTCCACAAAGCTTTCGAGTAGTTGCCATTCAAACAGGGGACTTTACCCACCTTCTCAACCAGTATAAATCTACATAATTTCTCCATTTTTAACAACCATGGATCCTTCTGCTAAGCTCACAGCTCTCCTCCTCTTGTTACTCTATCTAAATCCGTTTATATGTCAGATATCAATTCATACAGACTGAAAGCAAAGTTTATGACAGTTATGAAGGTTGTTTAATTAGAGTTTTTGGTTACATTTTGCAGGCAAAGTCGAGGGCTTAGATTCTTCTGGTGCACCACCGTTTACAGACTCTGCAATTACTGAGGTAACTTCAACGCAAGGGATCTGAAAATATTCAATCTGTCATAGAACATCTTGAAAAGATTCATTTACCATATGAGATGTTTTGATTAGAAAGGAGAATTGGGTTTTCGTTTGATGATTCAAAGGAGCCTTAATTCACTGGCATATGTTCGCTTTGAAGGATACGACCGAAGCGAAGACGATGAAGCTGAGACTAGAGGATGACACGCTAAAGGACTATACTCCAACCATGCCGAATCCTAAACACGATCCACCACCGACAGGAAAACCATGACATCAGTCGGTGGTAGCAGCAGCTGAACTTGAAATAAAGCCTAGTTGTTTTCTGGATTGTCTGTTAGTGAAAATCAAATGCAAGAAACCAGTAGTTCCTTGAATAAAAGGATTAGAAAACTGTTAAGAAGCAGGTTTGACTACTAAAATTTTACAAGTTTCTACTTTTAAGGATTACTTCTTTTGATTCAGAGGGAAGATATGCCCTTTTTGCTAAGTTTTTGCAATTAGCAATAATTAGATTGCTTTCTTTCATACCTAAATTCAGTATGCCTCGAGGATCCGCCATTGTTAGTACTGAAACAGGTAAAACTTTTATAATTTTTACCCCTAATTCTTCAAGATTGATTCCAAGATGAAATTATTGACATATCAGTAAACATGTGAAGCACAAGAACAGTTATAATAAGTTAAAGTTCACCTATTAATCGAATAATTTACTAATATTGTCCTCGCATTTGTTGACCCAGGCTAATTTAGGGATGACAAATTTCAACCTTAAGTTTATTATTTTTAAATTTAACTTCAAGGTGTAATAATCATCCCTCATAAACTTCCGATATTTCAAACTGAAAGCAGTTTCCTTTTTTATGAATTAATCCCAAATTCAGACAGCAGGCAGGTACAAAATTACTGAAATGAAAAACAAAGGAAAAGGAAAATGAAGTTAAATTGATCCTCCGTTAACATTTTTATCGGATTTGCACAATTCCAGCGGTGACCAGCTTTTGGATCTTTTTCATCACCATTGGATTCTTCATGTGTTCTTGTGCTGCCTTTGGGTTCTCCTGGAAATCAATCAAAACCTGTCCAAATCTCCATTTTCAGTAAACCAGACATCAAAGTCTCCTGACATTATAAGTAATCCCAGCACTTACCTGTCTCATGACAGGATCTGAGAGAATATTTTGAATTTCAGGATCTTGCATTGACTTGGCCTGGCAACAATATCAAATCAATTTTACATTGCCATCACTAAACAGCTTATGTGAATCCAAATGAGAAGCAATGACATAAAGGGAACTCCTTAATACTCACCTGTCTTTCCTTCAGCTCTTCAGGAGTGAAATCACCTCGACTAGCTTTGCTAATTTGATCCACGCATCTGCAAAATAATTGAGAGATTCGGGTAATTATGTATGGCATTAATTTAAGAACAGATAACCAGAAGATCAGAAAGGGAGAGATGCATACCTTCGGACACCATCAAGCAGTTCCTGGTTATTGGGATCATGTTTCAACCCTTCCTGGTATGTTTCTAAAGCTTTGTCGTACTCCTTCATGAAGAACTGAATAGCACCTTTTCTTGTGTAACCCTTAGAAAAGGTTGGATCAAGCTCAATGCACTTCTCAGCATCTTTCAGTCCCTCAGGCATTGCACCCAATTTTGTGTACCATGCAGCTCTATTACTTATGTCTGACATGCAAATGAATTTTAACAATCAACTCGATACTGTTTTTTGTGCCTTTGCTTATGGTCACAAATAACTCACAAGAAAGGAAATAGACTTCTTACCCTTGGATCTTTGGGGTTTCTTCTCAATGACTCTGTATAATGCTTCACAGCCTCCGGATACTTCTGCTGCTTGAAAAATTCATTCCCTACAAATATATTTGTGCCGTCAGTAAATTTACTGTATATAACAGTAAAGAAATTTAAAGAACCATGAAGTTGCTGGTCTTATAAACAAAAAATGATGAAGAATACCTTTCTCACGCTCCTCATCCGCTAG